GAGCAATTGACTAGGAGGAAGGATGGAAACGGCTATTCGGTCTGGTTAAGGAGAAAATAAAAAATGGCGTAAACAACGGCATTAGTCTAATTTAGAATTAAAACTTTTTTTTCATTAGCAACGAGCAGCTTTCAGCCTTATGCCGGTGTGTTTTATGGCGGGCCATCGTCACGGAATGAGAGAACGAGTGGTGAAGAGAGGCATTCGTTGAGGCCCTTTGTTTCATTTACTGGGAAACAAAGAGTTTTTGAGCTTTTGAATAGGATGTGTAGCCAGGGCGCAAATATCCCATGAATTATTAATGAAGATTACAGCAGGGATTCACCCTCAAAATGCCCCCGACCACCGCTAAAAACCCTACGATTGATGCCAGGGAGAGATGGACAAAGCACACAGAATAGGAATAAAATCTGCCCAAGTACCGTTAAACGAAGTTGGAGATGATTATGCTAACGGGATAAGGAACGGTTATGTCCTTTGAGTATTTGAAAATATCTATCAAAAATGTGTTTGTATAAAAGTTATTAACGTATTAGGAAAATAATGTCTATGGCATAAATCATAACCAATGAAAAAAAAAAAAAAATGTAGGCAGAATAAGAAAATTATAGTATAAGTTTTTGTGCGTATATAGTGTACTTTAATCAATTATACTCCAAAATCCTTATTCCAAAGATTTAAACAACGCTATTGAGTTTTTAACGTCTTCAATTAAAAGAATTTTTATTGAATCTTCTTCTAAAAATGTACTAGCTAAACCTAGTTATAAAACATCAACAAAGATATTTTTATTTAGAAATCGTGAGATGCGGTCTGGTGTGATGTAGGTTTCAGAAAAACATTTTCTTTATCGTGCCAACGTTTCGATCTTTATTGAGATCATCTTCAGGGCTCAAAGTGTTTGTCTTCTGTGTAATTGTGTCATTCTTGCGTGTCGTGTCGAGAGTGCCCCTTTGAGCCCTTAAGATGATCTCAATAAAGATCGAAACGTTGGCACAATAAAGAAAATGTTTTTCTGAAACCTACATCACACCAGACCGCATCTCACGATTTCTAAATAAATATCGATTAACGGTCACTAATCACCACAAAAAGATATTTTTGTTAGTTAGGTTTTTGAACCGAGAACAATGTTGCAACTGGTTCTTATATTACAAATATTAATCCGCCAATTGTGTAAAATTTTCAGAGGCAGATCACTTTGGCATCAGCCCGTCTTTTGAACGTTTTCCAAAAAGCAAGATAAAGTTAAAGCCTGACAGTTTCGAATACGAATCCCATTAGAGGTTTCAACCGGGAAGAAAGAAATTCACCGACAATAAAACACTGTCCAGCACGGAAAGGAAAGTTTTAGAGAGGGAAAACTGAGGACCTAAATCGGAGTCATCAATAAGCAATTGGTGGAGAAGAGCAGGAAAACCCATTCGGAGAGTGGGCAAAGTTTTAACTATTTAATTGTATTCATTACTGGATATAAACGGATTTGTTTTAAACTTTAAAGGATATCCGTAAAAACACAGAACGGTATAGACTTTTATCAATTGAAATATATAACAATTACATTCATCTTTTCCATAAAACTTGCTTTTTACAACAATCCTTTGTATTTGTTTTAAAATATAGTTTCGCCTATTTTTATCGTCTGTAAATTATAAAATCTCTAATCATAGGTAGGTTTGATCATTTGAAATCGTGTGTAGTAGTTCTATTGTTTTCCCTTTGCCTTGTAACGTTAAATATTCATAAAGTCGACGATTACAACATAATAAGAATGATTACTAATAATCACGAACATGAACGCAAGGTGTTATTATAATGGCAATGGGAAGAGAAAAATTTAACCTAGCAACGTCAAAAATCAAATCTTTAGAAAAAACCTAGCATCACTTAGAAAAACGAAAAAATCTTAATGGTAGAACAAAATGATTTTTCAAGGGAAAGTGTAAATTATAAGATTCCGAAGTCTGTGAATAACTAAAACAAAAGTTGTTAACATAATATGAACAGTACGAATTGTAGTTATAACGAATTTAATTTTCTCATTTACATTCCCGTTTAAAGGAATAAGGGACTCAAAGGCGGGCATGCAAAGAAAATTAAACTGCCGGTGTTTCTAGGTTTTGTTCGCTACGAATCAAGAATATATTATGTCGTTAAAACAATACAAATTGTCATTACATTCCTAAAATTTTCAAGGATTTTCGCTGTTATTTGAAGACAAGCTTAGAATGTCTGGAGTGGTCCAAACCATTTAATGAATACATAAGTTATATGAGTTTGGAAGCAGGAATAATATATATTGGGCAATACTCCATTAGAGAAATTACATTTTAAGCTTCTTAATAAATATGTATCAGCTTAGTTATGAAGCTAGATATTTAATATGGGCATCGAATTTAAGGTGTTGGTCAATATACACCCCTAATGGTTTTACAAAATTATTTTCATCGAAACCAATTATGATAGAATGCTAAATATAGGGAAAAGTTCAATTCAGGGAAAGGGTTCCTCACTGAAGATGGCGAAACGCGTTTGAATAACTCAAACAAAAAACCCGCGAGTGGAAACAGATCCGGTTCGACAAAAGTTCAATCTGATGTGAAACGAGGTTCAATTCTTTCTAAAAAAACATATTAAAAATAAATTTTGTTTGGAAAAAGTTCAGTTTAATTTGAAAAAATGGCAACTTGGTTCAGCAAAATTACAACTAAATTTGAAAGTCCAATTTGATTAGGAAAGAGTTCAACTAAATCTGAAAAAAGCTCAACTTGGTTTGAAAAAATCTTGTGATTTGGAAAACGAAGTCCAATTTAATTCAGCAAAAGTAAAACACGGATGGAAAAAGGCAAATTTAACTTGAAAACTCTTAACTTAATTAGAAAAAAAGCTCAATTATTGTGCTTGGCAAAAATACAATTAAATTGGAAAAAACGTACGATTTGATTGAGAAAAACTACAATTTTATTTAGAAAAAATACAAATTGGCTTGATAATAATAATTGTTGTTAATTTGAATAGAAAAAAAAGTCTAATTTGGTTTGGAAAAAGCCAAATTTGGCTTGAAAAAAGTGTACTTTGCTTAAAAAAAGCTTTTTTTAAAAATAATTTGTAGTACATTACAACTACCTTAAAGTAGGTAATAAGTAACAGTGAGCAAGGTAATTAAAACAAAACAAAATTAAAACCAAGAGTGGAGAAAACACCTAAAAAAGCTGTGTGGCAAAAATACAACTGAATTAGAAAAAAGTACAACGTGTTTTTTTAAAAAGTTCAATCTAATTTAGACAAATTAAAACATGAAAAAACGCAAATATGGCTTTAAAAAAAATTCAATTTCATTTGGAAATAGCTCAACTTCGTTTGGCAAAAATACAATTTGGCTTAAAAAGGTTGAGACTTGGTAAAAGTCCAATTTTTCTTGAAAAAGTTGGATTCGATTTACAAAACGGTAAAGTTGGTTTAGAAAAAAGGCAAATTTGACTTGACAAAATTTCAGATTTGATTAGGACAAATCTACAGAGATTGGCTAAAATACAATTGAATTTGAAAAAAGGACCATTTGTTTTGGAAAATGTTTAATTTGTTTGAAAATGTTTTGTCCAAAAATATTCAGTGTGATTTGAAATAAGTTCAATTTGGTTTGGAAAAAGTTTAATAAGATTTGGAAAAAGCTCAGTTTGATTAGTCAAAAGTTCGACATGATTTGAAAATAGTTCAGTTTGATTTGGTGAAATTAAAGCGGAAAGGTATGCAGCTTGTCAGCATTTGTTCAACTCCACGATTCTATCAAATCAGTTTGAAATGGAATACTCATGAGAAATGATTGAAATTGAGATTATTTTAAAATATGTCATGACAGAATTTAATATTTCAAATAATAACTATTACCAAATCCTCTGTAAACTGACTGAAGCCTTTGAATCTGTTGCTCTACAATCCCACATCTAGTTTGATTGTGGTTTGAAAAAAGTGGATTTGATTTGAAAATAAGTTCAGTTTCACTGGAAAAAGTGGTTACTCTATGATCACTTGTGTTGTTATAACTTTTAGTGTTTGTTCCGTTATTTTTTATAGATCAAATTATAGTTTGCTAGTTTGGCAGACGGTGCAATATTTTTAACCTATACAAAATGTTTTTATATTTCTTGCGCTTAATTACCACAAGAATTTATAGAATCGATAAAACCAATTGAAATATTTGCCATTTTTCTTACATCCTAGCAGAATTCCATTAAAATATCGAAACGAAATTCATTTTGTTAAATTTTTAATGCCAAATTTTAGCTTTCGTGTTGTAAAGACTTATTAATTTTCCTTGAAGCACTCAATTCTACCTTTTGCAATCGTAAAGGCAGACATTTAGAGGAAAGGTGTGGGACCGTCTCGTAAATTCAATCCGGACAGGATCTTCTTTTTGCCCGGAGAGTCGACTTCGGTCCTTGTACTCGTTTAACCGATTGTATATTTATTTCTAGCAAGTCTTTTTTTTTTTTTAAATTTATAAAACATCTAATCTATAAAATGGATCGAGGGTGTCCCTGGGACAAATTCGATTACGATAAACTTGAAAAATCACTTTGCCATCGGACCACAAATCTATTTGGATCTTCTTTATCCCCTCGCCCCTTATTCTGCAGTCGAAGCAAGAATCCCAAATTCGATTTGCTTGCTATTTCAGGACTTCCAGAAATAGAAATCGGTTAATCGGCCGAGATGTTTACAGAAAGATAACTAATCCCGAATAATCAGAGTTTGTTAGACATTTTGGAAGTGTTTTGCCATAAGATTTTGCCACTGGATTCTAAACTAGTTAAGCTGATAGTGTCTCAATTTAAATGGAAATTCAAATTGAAATATTTAACAATATTTCAAACTCATTATGAGAAAAGGTGATTTAAGAAAATATTTATGGTTTCAAAGATCGTGTACAAGAAGAAAAAAAAGGTTGAGTTAATTTGTGTTCAGCACAATTGAAAATTAGCGTCCTATTGTCATTATACCTTCATTTTCTGCGGAATGCCACTGAACAACGGTCTCTTCCATCAGCCAAATTGACGGTGGGGATAAAATATTTAGCACCCTTTTGTCTTATAGCGGTACAATTCGGACCAGTTCTTCCAAACGGTTCTGCCAAGTGTCCGAAGGCATATTTCTCACTGATGACTAACAGCTCATGACGTTTGTCCAGCCGTTGCTAATAAACCATCGTTCCAGCGTCTCCAACTAGAAAAATTTGAATTTTTGAATTTTTTAAATGTGTTTGTAAGAGAGATTAAGAGATTAATAATTTGTAGGCTATGTTTTTGAAAAAGTTAGAAGCCCTGGATTGTTCTTGCGTTTGAGTACTAGACGGCAGTCCATCTTAATATATCAGGTTGTATCGACTTCTAAAGTCCACCCATTTAATTCTGAAACTATTAACTTAAAAAAAGGTCTTTATCAAAGTTAATTTTGGCTAGGAATCGCGTGGTGGTAACAGATTTAACCCAACATTCTCATCTAGCTGGGAAATAATACTAGCTTTGTTATTTTAAATGGGAATCCCATATTTTAATTGTACAATTCGATTGTACAACTTATTTTATTCCACTTTACTGGAAAGAAAATTTTGATAGGATCTACCATTTCTGAGTTATGCTCGATGAAAGAGGCATGAGGGGGTATGCTTTTTGTAACAACGATGCTCTCAGCTTATTTCGAAAAACGATTAACTTTAGCCAAAAATAGTCTTATACAAACCGCAAGTTAATTTTGGCACACTCACCGGGGAGCGGTATCATTCTTTTATAGAAAACAACCTCCCTGTTCTCATGGAGAATATTCCCCAATACACCAGCCGAAGGATGTGATTCAAACAAGGCGGTTGCCCAGCTCATAACAGTCGCGTCGTTACCATTTACTTGGACATGAACCATACAGGGAGATGGATTGGCACACAAGGTCCTATTTCGTGGCCTCCGAGTTCGCCAGATTGACCCCCCCCCTTGGATTATTTTCTTGTGGGGGGGGGCATTGAAGAATCGAGTGTATGCTGATCCATCTCCAGTATCTACTGTCCAAGAATTGGAACAACGGATTGTTGTGGCTTGCAGAGAAATCCGCCAGGAAATAATAGAGAAAGCCACAAATGAAGAATTCCTGAAAAGAGCAGGGCTCTGAGCATCAAAAGCAGGGAGCGTATTTGAGCATTTATTATAGAAATAAATTTTAATAAATGGTCAAATCTGCAACAATACATTATTATTTACAGCTGACAGTCATTTTAAAAATAAAACAGACTCTAGGATCCTTTTTATAAAATTTCTTTTTGTTTTTCAATAATTAATATAAGCTAAGCTAGAAGCAACCCCATGGTACTTACCCTATTGTAAAACGATTCCTATCCTAAATTAACTTGGTAATGCTAATAGTTTTCGTAATAAACCGGGAGGGCCATCTTGTTACAAAAAGCATGCCCCTCTCACGCGTCTTCCGTAGGGCATAACTCAGGAATGGTCTATCCTATTAAAATTTTCCTATCAGTAAAGTGGCATAAATTAAGTTGTAGATTGAATTGTACAATAAAATATGGGATTCTCATTTAAAATAACAATAGTTAGTGTAATTTCCCAGCTAGATGAAATATCGGATTCTCATTTAAAATAACAATAGCTAGTGTCATTTCCCAGCTAGATGAAATATCGGATTCTCATTTAAAATAACAGTAGTTAGTGTCATTTCCCAGCTAGATGAAATATCGGATTCTCATTTAAAATAACAGTAGTTAGTGTCATTTCCCAGCTAGATGAAATATCGGATTCTCATTTAAAATAACAAATAATTAAGGTTTTTAGTTCAGATAAAAAAGTCAATGGCACTAGAGGGATTCGAACCCACGATCTTCGGCTTGATACGCCAAAAATGGCAAAAAGGAGGGAAAATTCAAAAGGTGCGGTTGAGATGGGAAGTTGGTGTCCGAGTGGATCGAGGTCACGATAGCTCAAGTGGTAGAGCAGCGGCGTATCAAGCCGAAGATTGACATTTTTATCTCAACTAAAAACCTTAATTAATTGTAATATATTAATTGGTCAAGCGGACCACGAAATTAGTGAATAAAATAACAAAGTTAGTATCATTTTCCTAGCTAGATAGAAAGTTGTGTTAAATTTGTTGCCACCACGCGATTCTTAGCGGGGTTTGTAAAGACCATTTTTTGCTAAAGGTAATCGTTTACATGTGAAATGGGTGGACTATAGAATTTGTTAAACCCTGCATAGTAAATTCGCAAAACTTGAATTGTTCATTTTATCTCTTGACAAAAATTTTTCCCTATGCTCCATTTTAAACAATTCTTTATTCCTTATGTCTCTCGTCACAGTTTCTCGAGTGGATATACTTTAACGTAACTATGGTTTCAGAATACTTCAGAATATGATAAGCCAAACATTGCAGAAGTGCACAGGACCACAACAAGTACACTTCTACATTCCTACATTCTAGGACATTTTACAAACGTCATTGCTTTCAAATTTCAAATTGAGGGGGTCGTACGGTAAGAAACGAAAGGAAACGTTCTAAATTGGAATCCAATCGCGCAAGTATCAAAGAAGTTAACACGATCCTACAGTTTTACAGTTCAACGTAAGCTTCGTAATTGTGGGACTATTTGAAGTTACCAATTTCACCAAAAAATTGTCAGTAACTAGTTATCCTAGTTGTACAATATTATGAATTCAAGGCACACACTAAAATTGCCCAAGTTGGTTCTACAACTAACCAAATTTGACTTACCTTGCGTATTCAGTAATGAGATTTCTTTTCTGGTGAAAAACTCATCCACTTCGAAAGGAAAATACATTTTTTTGAGAGAACACATTTAAAAAAACAACAATAAATTTTGTTGTATTTTTTGAAAATCGTCCTAAGTCAGCTGGCCAGCTGTAGTACGGGACATTCATTGGTAAAGTTGATGAGGTTTTTATATCGATTTATAATTAAAATATTCTATTACAGTAATAAATAGTTTTTTAATTAATAATAAATTGTTTACAATATAAAACAGAGATAATTTCCAATGTTTGCCGTTCACAATGATTCTATTTTATTTGGATAAATTTAAATAGGTTCTTAACCCAAAAATAACGGACAAATACAGAAAAGGTTTCACATACAAGGGCTGACTTGATCATAAACATAGTGTCCAATGTTGCACAACGGCTCAACATTGGTTCTGGGCGGTTACGATGTTACGGGATCGGAATAGCCGTGTCCCTTGTTCTCGTTCAAAAATGGAAAACATTGTCATCATTGGACAAGTCTGGACGTGTTTACAAACAGTCCAGCCAACCAGAGAGGCCTGCGATCATTTTGTAATTGATTGTAATTCTGCTTCGTCTTCAATTTTTTGTTCGTCAAAGGTCATTGCCAAAACTGGTACCTTTCATCACCTATTTTTCTTTTAATAATTTTATCTAATTAAAATCAATAAGTCGGTATACACAAAGTTTTTGGGATAGCATCACTAGCCATGATTATCACCTGAAATACCATGAAATATTGAAGTACAACATCGGACGAGGAACAATATATACCCTTTGGTCCGAAACAATGTTCTGAAGTTTATAAACAATACTGTTCAGAAACTTTGTTTACAGTCCAGCCTTTACGAGGAAGTCCACACTGCACGGAAATTCTCAAAGGTCTACACTGTCTGCATTCATCAAATAGTCTGTATTTCTAGGGCAGCATTTCTAGGAAAATTTAATTTACGGGCTACAATTGCTGAATTATAGAGTATCCAGCTTTGTAGGGTAGAAAAGGCATTGATCATTAATACGCTTTGACGGTGGCAATTATGAAATAAGCTCAAGGTGTGCTGGCTATTGTGAGAATGGCACAAATATTTATAGGAACTTGGGAATCGAGTGTCACAAGAAATAACTTCCCTTTGCCGGGCTTCGCATTAGGAAAAAATTAATTAGCCTGAAACAGTCCATGGTACGGTTAGAGGGAAAAGTGAAAGGAGGAAGAACGAGGAAAGTGAATGTATGCCTATTGGCTTCAACGACCTTTAGTCCTTCTTCATCACTTTTCGACTCTCACCGAGTCATTGCCGGCCTCGGCGGAGAAATATGAACGTAACGAGGTGATATTTTCTTCTTGAGGTCTGCGGGGTCAACGATTCGGTCGTTTCTGATCATTCTGGTCCGCTTATCCTCGCTTTTTTAGGTCAGCCGGACGAGTTTGTGTTTAGCTCGATTGATAATTGTCCTATCGTTACAAACCCACAACTTAAGCTGGTGAAATGCAGCCGGACCTGGGCGATAGGAAGATAAAGAAGCATTCTTTCAGTAGATATATTTGATGTACCAAAATACATATAACTATTACAATTATTTTTGAAATAATTAGAATAGTTAAATTATTAAATAGTAGTAAAAGTAAAAATATTTCTATACTATGGCTTAACATCAAACTACCGTTGAGGGACGAGGACGAGGGGTGAAACCACTTTACAATACATTTTTCATACTATTCTCAATTTAAAAAACCATGAGCTACGCAAGGATTCGAACCTAGAATCAATAGCCCGGCGAAAACGAGCCAGATGCCCCATCAACCTCTCGCCCACCGCGGTTACCTCAAACTAAAGAAAATAAAAACAAACAAAACAAGCTATAAAAAAATCGTTATTGCTTAATTTACATAGTTTGAGGAGTATTTAAATTATTTTGGTATAAGTGCGAAAGGTGTCTTATAAAGAGTTTAAAAACAAAGTCTGTTTGAGATTCTGCACAAATTAAACAAGTTTTCCGCAAGATTAAATCGATTGCCAAATGTAGAAATTAACAACTCAAGATTAGAATCTCCATATAATAAGAAAGCCAATAAAGAAATATTTCACTTAATAACAGGGCGTCGGACCTGGGGGGTCAATAACCGTGAGATTGTCAAGATGCAAAAGAACTCTTCGTTTCTGCCTTTCAAATGAAAACAGCAGCTAGAAAGTTCCCTAGAGAACACACACACACACATACATAAAAACAGAGGGTCAAAATAGCGTGGATAGAAGGGCCCAAATGATACGAAAGGACTTACAGGTTCATCACCCGCAGGCCAGCAAGAAAGAAGTCTCACAATGGTGGAAAACGACTGAAATTGCAAACTAACAAATAAAGAAGAACAATTATAAAAGGAAAAAATACATTAAACACTTACAACAGAATTAAATTCTTGTTAAATCA